ATCATCACCACATGCATATGCAGCCTGAGCCGCCAAGCGGGTCTCACTGGCTGACCTAAAACAGGAAATATCACAGGCGCCAGTCACTTGCTCTGCTCAACCACTATATGTTGAACCTGCACAAAACAAATACAGCACAGAGCTAGTAAAACACTATGGTCTACAGCAGCCCAAAAGCAGAAACATACATTTCACAACCTGGAGAAACAGAGAGCTCCCAGTTAAGCAACTCCACCTGGTGGGGAGCATGGGAAGAACACTCTACTCCAGACAGCTAGGGCTACCCTTATCAAAGGTGATCGTCATTAAAAAGGTACCAGAAGGCTACAAGAGCACTCGCCATTCCTTGCCTCAGGATTTGCTTCACAAAAGTTAGGGACCCAATCTTCACCCATCAGAGCAGGCAATGTCTTGCAGGACCTTCAGAACTCGATCTCCCCGGCTGGGGTACATTGCCCTGGACCTGTACAGCACCCTGCCAGAAACGCTTTGTCAGTTAGAGCTGCTGCTCTATCCCCACCAAAGAGGATAACAAATCCTCTTGAGTTACATAAGGTGTCCCGGAGGTAGCATTAATACCTGAAAAGGGAAAGGGTTCAAAACCACCTGAACCACCATGCTGACCAGTTACATTGCAGGCAATCTCTGCATCTCAACCTCTTCCACAGATGCAGGGTCTGGGTATCATTCTTCTGAGCATTTAGGCCTATATGGATCAATTCCTATAGCTTTGATCTTCTGATCCATGCTGGAACCATTGAGAATCTGGCAATATTGTGCAGGGAGCTGCACATCAGTGACTAGCACCTTCAAACACCGGTGAAAAAAAACTGAGGCACTTTCTGGATGGGAGGGGTTTTAAGGGACAGGACTCAATCTTTTGACTCCAATCACCTGTACATGGTGCATAACCCTGTGAGTAAGGCATAATAGAGCTGTTCTGTGTTCCGTGATATACGATAAAGAAAAATGGATTTCCTGCCAGGATCAACAGGTAATAATACATCAAGTTATTTAAGGCTTGAGAATAAGTAAAACCGATGTGCTAATATAAGTGACAAAATGCATCATATTACATACTGTACATCACCCACATTTTTTCCATAGTTACAATTTATGTTGAAAAAAATTTAAATCTGTCTTAGTACTCGGTCTATTTCCTGATAAAACTACTTAACTGATGCTTGTCATCACTATAACCATAGAAGAACATTTCTTTAAGTGTCCACTCTCCCATATTCTCTAGAGGTCCCTTCTCCCCAAAACAAAAACTCACCAGGTTCTGTGATCGCTGCTGTTCATCCATCATAGTAACCTGACTGACAGATTGCATGCCTGGTGCTACTTGCTGACCTGGCATCTGTAAAGAGATGATGGCAATAGAAAACTCCCAATGTAAACAACTATTGGCACACAATGCAGCATAGCATTTACTAGCTTCAGAGAAGATGAATTTACCTGTTGCGGTACAGTCTGTGTCACAGGTAAAGCATTAGGCTGTTTCGATAAGAAAGCTTGAGGGTTGTTTGGTATAGGGCCAGTATTCATAGACTGAGCTGTTCCCATTTGCTAGAAGACAAAAAAAAATAGCAAAACAGATTACCACAAAACAGCACTGATGGATAAAGATGATAACGAAGGGAGTGCAATAAAGTATATTCACTTGAGAAAGGTGGGTAACGAGTATCTAAAACAAACATTTTTTGTAGTATTGTATTTGTGAGAGGTTAGAACCCTTAAGGTTTTTACTGCTGTCTCTGTCCCCGCTAAGGAGATTCACCCTCTCTATATTTCCTGGTGACCACTGGTGTTCCTGGCAACCACTTGGTTAGTCACAAAGTAAAAATAATCTTTAAAAATGCATCCAAAATGTCACAAAAATAGAGGATAAGTCCTAATATGGCAAACTGAGGATGCCTGAGGAAGGGTCCCTGCACAGTCCTGAAATGTTGCTTTTCTATGTGAACATACAAGAAGAAAGACCTTTGCACTTTGAAACCTACTTGTTGGTGTGCTGGTGACAGATCTTATTCGTGCTGCACTCTGTGACCATTTAGAAGTTCCAGACCCTTTTAACCACATGGTCAATTCCAATATGGGATGCAAGAAAAAAAAATGTACTTCATAAATGGATTATGAAACGCAGAGATAACCAGATTTAGATCCTACAGAGTCACAGAGAACAAAACGGAACTTGGGCTTCAACAACCATGCAAAAAAGAGTTCAGCGAAAGGCAACAAAATAAATAAGGGGGATGAGGACCTCAGCTATGAGGATGGATTTCATAGATTACATGTATTCACTGTTAAGAGATATGATTACAACATACAGATATGTCAAAGGTGACTCCAATAACTCTACTAACCGTTTACTCTAAGCCTCCTGAAGAGGACACATGGCCACAATTTGAAGTTAAAAGAAAGGTGGTTTAATCTTAGGCTGTGGAAAGGGTTCTTTACTGTTGGAGCAGTTAAAATGTAGATCTCCCTTCCCAAGGAAGTGGTACTAGCTGAGATGTTCAACAGCTTTAAAAAACTTTTAGATGTCTACCTCAGGAAGCAGAATATACAGGGCTATAGGAATTGTTAGAGAATAAAAATCAAACACACATTCACACATATATAGGTTGAACTGGATAGACCAGTGTCTCATCTACCCATGTACCTGAAAACAAAGCAGGTTCCAATTTATCTCTTTCCACAGTAAGACTTTTTGTTCCTCCCTAATGGTTGATTTACACCATTACCACCACCAGTTGACTTACTGAACCAGTATCAGATGACCGTCTAGGCAAATGGTCCCACACTGCAAAGACACCCAATGCTCCAGGATGTTGATCGGGAGAGGAGATACTTATGAAAATCAAGTTTCCTACACTGACAGGGTACTCAGGACTACCCAGACAACAGGCTTGTAACCATTGTGGAGATTTTCTAAAAGAGTAGAATGAGGAACTTCCGGATTCCTGAGCTACCAAGCCAGATGTGCCAAATGGATTGGTCTGTCCAGGGACTGGTAGAGAGGTCAGTAGTGAAAATGGGCAAACAGGACTGCCTAGAAAGAGGTTATTAGTCCTAGGAGTTTTATGCAAGAGCAGACCTTTGAAGGACTTCTAGACTGGAGGGCAAACATTTGGTTCTAAAGGGCCCAAAACTAGAAAACTAGGAATAGCACTAGTAGAACCAACAGGCTGATACTCTTGTTTCAGAGTGGTTGGACATCAATAAGAACAAAAATGGTCTCCTTCAACTTTGGGAGTAACGGCAAAAGATTGCGACTTCTGGTCAAAAGCCAAGGGCAAGAACTGAAGTGATTCGGAATCAGAGTCCCAGTTTTATTACTTGTGGAAAGTGGCATGCGCCACATTAACTAAGCAGATAAACATGCTTCAGATCTATCTGCACCACCTGCAGGGAATATGGAAAACTGACGCAGATCCCCACAAGCTTGAAGCTAGTGTACAGGCTGTCAGCTCACATCCCCCTGTCTGTCCATGCAATGATTACACTTACAGAGAACAGAGCCTCCAAGGTTTACAGCCCTCCTTCTCCCTCCCACTCTGAGTTGAGCCAGGTGCAGAGACAGGCAGAGAGATTGGAGCTGGCAGCTCCAGCTCTCTTGTTCTCTGTGCTGTGTCTGTCACAGACACAGCAGAACAGAGAACCAATCACTCCTAATTAACAAAGGATCCTGCACCCCAGTGGCTTCCATAATTCTCATATTGAAAAAGTATGGCACAACCAAGTTCTGGTCACCCAGCCAAACTGAGCAATTGGGGGAGAAGGGCCTTAATAAGAGGTGACAAAGAACTTGATGGTCACTCTGACTGAACTCCAGACATCCTGTGTGGAGATGGGACAAAGTTCCAGAAGGACAACCATCACTGCAGCCCTCCACCGATCTGGGCTTTTTGTAAGAATGGCTAGAAGAAAGCCTCTCTTCAATGCACAACACATGGAAGCCCACTTAGTTTGCAAAAAGCACCCGAAAGACTCTCCGACTATGAGGAACAACATTTGCTCATTGGATGAAACCAAGATTGAACTGTTTGGCCTCAATTTTAAAAGTTACGTTTGGAGGACACCAGGCACTGCTCCTCACCTGACCAATACCACCCCAACAGTGAAGCATTGTGATGGCAGCATCATACTGTGTGTTTTTGAGCAGCAGGGATTGGAAGACAGGTCAGGGTTGAGGGAAAGCCGAGTGGAGTAAAATACAGAGATATCCTCAATTAAAACCTGTTCCACCACAGTGTTCAGGACCTCAGATTGGGCCGGAGGTTCACCTTCTAACATGACAACAATCCTAGGCACATAGCCAAGACCACAGTTAGGGACAACTCTGTGAATGTCCTAGAGTGTCCCAGCCAGAGCCCTGACGTGATCCCTATTGAATATCTCTGGAGAGACCTGAAAATGGCAGTCCATCGACGGTTCATTTTTATAAATTCACAGACATTAATAAAATTTTGTTTTCACTTTGTCATTATTGGGTACGGAGTGTATATTAAAGAAAAACTGTAGCATCAGGCTGTAACTTAACAAAACTGAAAAAAGTGAAGGGGTCTGAATACTTTATTAACCCGAACGAGTGCCCCCATAGCAAGTGGCTTATGTGGGGCACTTGGACAAATGGGAGGAGCAAAGACCGCCAGTGAGAGACCCCAGAAGAGGTGGTTTGGGGCTATTCTGTGCATATTTAAAAAAAAAAAAAAAAAAAAAAGTACCTCTACAATCACTTTAAGAAAAAGGATGGCAAGTTGCAGAAGTTGCATCAGGTAAAACAATTTGCAAATTAACATTCAGAAATCGGATACCCAATACCTCAAAAGATTCAAAAGATACTGTTCTCTAGCATCCACACAAAACTAAAATATTGGATCGGGCAACCTCTGGTATAGCAAGTGATCATCTAAATGATCAGAGACGCCTGTTGAGATGACTTTGAAAAGCACCTTGTGAAAGAAGCATGAATCTGCACTATGAAATAGGAAGAATTAGAGTAACAAGCCACTGCTTACATTTCGTTGCTGGTCAATCTTCTGCATCTGTACTTGTTTGTGATTGGTGATTACTTGTCGAATACCATTGACAAAGCCACTTTGATCATAGGGTATCAAGCCCATGAAGATCCTCTTTTTGGAAGAGTAGAGTAGCATGAGAACGCGTACCTCACAAGGTGTAGTATGAGGAAAGTGAACACAACCCGCCTAAAAAGATGGAGAGAAGGACAACAGATTAAAAACATACACTTGAAACGTCAATGCATAAAAAGTGTTACTCAACTTATCAAATGCATTCATTATACTTTTCAGTTCGAATGGGTAGGTGAAAAACCAGATAACTCACTAGGGACCATTCAACGAAAAGGTTCAGCAACTCAGCTACAGGTTGACACCTGGTTTATTAACCGCCTCCTGCCTGCCATATAAGGAAATGATGGGCGAAAGGCGGTTCATAAGACGTCCTCCCACTCTAACAACGCATGACCGCCCCTGGCGGCGAACAGCGCATCGGTCGGTGGTGCACTGTGTCCCTGGGACACAGCGGATCACCGATCAACGGAAAGAGCTGAAGATGTCGGCTCTGTCATGTGATCATCTGTGTCCAATCACAGCTGATCGCATATAAATAAGGAAATGCCAATTATCGGCATTTCTCTCCACACGAGCTGTCACGCTGACAGCTTGCGAGGAGAGGAGAGGAGAGCTGGTAATCAGCATTACTCATAGGGGACATGTGCACTGATCACCAGGGCACTCATGATCAGTGTGCTCTGATGATCAGTGTAGCCCCATCAGTGCCATCTGTCAGTGTCCATCAATGCCACCTGTCAGTGCTAATCAATGCCACCTGCCAGTGCCCATCAGTGCCACCTATCAGTGCCTACCAGTGCACATCAATGCCACATATCAGTGCCCAACTGAGCTGCCTTTCAGTGCCACCTATCAGTGCCAGTCAGTGCCGCCTAACAGTGCCATATATGAGTGCTGCCTTTCAGTGCCCATCAGTGATGCCTGTCAATGCCCATCAGTGCCACCTACCAGTGCCTCATCACTGCAGCCTATCAGTGCCCATCACTGCAATCTCATTAGCACACATCAGTGAAGGAGAAAAATCATTTATTTACAAAATTTTGTAACAGAAACTAAGAAAAAATGTTTTTTTTTTTCAACATTTTCAGTGGTTTTTGGTTTGTTTAGCAAAAAATAAAAAAAAACCTAGGATGTGATTAAATACTACCAAAAGAAAGCTGTCTGTCTGTCTCAAAAAAATTATAAAAATTTCATATGGGTACAGTGTTGCATGACCGCGCAATTGTCATTCAATGTGCAACAGAGCTGAAAGCTGAAAATTGGCCTGGGCAGGAAGGGGTTATAAGTGCCCTGTAGACAAGTGGTTAAAGAACTACCATGAAAAAGAAGAAAAAAAAAGTCATAGTATGATAATGATACAGCTTTGAACTTTCATCTCCAGAACAATGGTTTGACATATGGCACGCCTCCTATCACTTCTAAGTACAAAGAGTTTGGAGCGGACATATACATAGCTTTAAACCAAGCAAACAGGCAGAAGTATGATTCAAATGACATGTAAATGAAGCAATGCAGATAAGCTGGGCTGTATAGGTCTTCCCCACCAGCATCTCATATCTCTAAGACTTCTGTGTATTTACATTAGTAGTCACTTTCTGCCCCCTCTCATGAGCCATTATGAAGCGGTGACTCTTTCATAGCTAAATTCAACATTTTAGCGTTTATATTGCTAGTGCCCTACATTCTGCCTGCCATTGTTCAGCATGCAGCCTGCCGTGTTTCAGATCCCAGATCAGTTCTGGAGAACAACGGGCTGCACTGGAGAGATGGGCCAACTAATTAATTGAAGAAATGCACATATCTTCCAAACATCAGAGATGGGGAAGGAAGGCATCCACCCACCTAAGAAAACTAGTTAAAACTGGAGCATGCCTGGTATGGTCATTCGAATAGCACACATCCTGTCCTGAGGTATCAAAGTTCAATCACTATACTGTTATCTATGGAACAGTGGCACGTCAACCTAGGACAAGACGTGTGTTAGAACTACAGAACACTTCCATCTCATCTTTATAATAGAAAGGAATATGTCATATATTCACAGAAGTAAGCTGGAAAAGGCTGGTAATATTGTTTGACACGAAACTAGAGTACACAAGAAAACCCTGCATTTTTGGAACATAACAGACATAAAATTATTTTGTTTCCAATAGTTTTTATTGAAAAGTGTTTTACAAGAAAAATAATACAAACAACATCATAAAGTGATGGCGTTGCATTGCAGAGTCATACATCCCCATAAACGTGAGATCAAGAAACATGACGTGGTATGAAAGATCAAGGCTACTAATGGACACAAGTGTACTGAGTCTAACCATGCACACAAAGATAATAAGATCATAATGCCTGGTTCAATGTAATATTGGTGTTCTCGTGATCAGAACTCCTGTTCCACCCATTGCAAATGACTCAGGCACATTGCACCGTGTGCAGAAGAATTACAATAGAAAATAATTAAACCGTAGAGGAGATACACAGTGCACTAGCAAAGTGCTTGAATCCCAGCCTCCACTCAGTGGTTGGAATGACCTCGCCTCTCTGAGCAAAAGTGGGCCTCTCATAACTATGGCATGGGAATGTTACTCTCCCAAAAGAAAAACAAGATTGAAGGAAAATAGGGAAAAAGAAATGAAGAGGAAGGAAAAGGAGAAAGGAAAAAAAAAAGGGACTGATAGGTGCCAACTCTCTAGGTCCAGATTTCCATTTAAGCTGAAAAGGTCAGAGTGTCCCCTGACACATCTTTCAGTCAAGGGATTTCGGGTTTTTTCAAATAGCTTAAGTTTGTTATTCAATTTAGCTGATAAGCGCTCATTAATCATGAGCCAGGAAGTTTAATCTTAACCAAGTCTAGAGGTATCACTGCCAACCTCCATGATCTAGCTATTGAAATTTTTGCAGCCACAAAAATAAATTAAATTATCCTGCATGAATGGGGCGTCCTCCATGGGGCCACACAATAGTGCTTGTGTTGGTGATTTTATTAGATTAATTTGAGTAAGAGAATCAATAATATTATAGAGTCTAATCCAAAAAAGTTTACCTTTGGGGCATTTCCACCAAATGTGATATGAGGTCCCATCCTGTCCGCAGACCCTGAAACAGCATGGGGAAGCTCCCGAGACATACGAGGCAAGCCTACAGGGGTGTGGAAATTTCTGAAAAAACTACTTGTCCAGGGACTAAATTGGTGTCCTGATCTACCTGTCCATCAATGACAATCTACTTGTCCAGATAAAAAAATTTTTTTTTTTTTAACCAAAAGCATATTTAAATCGGAGGTGATTTTAGGAATGTCTGGGGCTTTTAAAAACATAAAGGGGCTTTATGGTGACTTAAATGTGTAATATTTTTAACATTGTGTTGTTTCATCCATGCACCGCACCTTGGGACTAGCAGGGAGGGGAGAGACCTTGCAGTGCAACGAACACCGATTGGCTCCTCAGGAAAGGGGATTGTCGGGCTTTATCCTTTATCCTTTTTGCTGCCAGAGCCATTTATGTGTTTTTTTGCACAATGTAAAAAAAAAAAAAAAAAAATCATCATTTTAGGCCTGAAGATTACATAAAACCCCCAAACATTATATATTTTCTGAAAGCAGACACCCTAGAGAATAAAATAGCGGTGGTTCCAATTTTTTATGTCGCATGATATTACCGCAGAATTTCAATAAAAATTACAAGTAAGTTAATTTTGGGGCACAAAAATAAGCAATAAATTACACAATTTTTTTGTAAAATATAAAAGAGGAGGTTGCACAGGGTAAATAGATATCCAACTTGCCAAACCTTAAATTTGTGCACGCTCGTGTAATGGCGACGAACTTCAGTACCCTATATTTTCTATAGGCGACACTTTTAAAGCTCCTTATAGATTATCAGTTTAGTGTTAAGGAGGAGGTCTGGTGCTAGAATTATTGCTCTCATTCTGGTGTGCACGGCGATATGTAACGTGTATCGCAATCATCGTTTTCATACGCAGGCGCCCCAGCGTGTGCTTTTACGTTTGTATGTGCGTATATGTGGGGGTGGGGGGCCATGTGCTTGGGTGTAACTTTAATTTTTTTAAGTAAAAAAAAAAAGTTTTTTTTTATTGTAATTACATTACATTATTTCCCAACCTCAAATCTCTCAGTGGGAACCCAGGACTGACATCATAACATCACTTCTGGGTCAGGACAAGAAGGGGTGGGGAGTGAATGCGTCCACTCTCCTCCCTCCCTTCTAGCCGACGGTGGTGCCAATATTTAAAAAGGGGTAAAAATATTTACAAAGTAATTATAGATCTCTTAGTTTAACTTCTATAGCTGGGAAGATACTGGAGAGTGTAATAAAAGACCACATAGATGAGTTCTTGCTGGAAAAAAAATATTTTAAGCAACAGACAGCATGGATTCATGAAAGACAGAAGTTGTCAAACAAATCTGATTTCTTTTTATGAGGGGGTGAACAAAACCTTGGACAGAGAGGTGGTGGTGGACGTGGTATACTTGGATTTTGCAAAAGCGTTTGACACAGTTCCCCACACACGGCTAATTTGAAGTCTACGGGCTTGGAAAAATCTGTATGTATATGGATAGAAAACTGGCTAAAAGATCGTATTCAGAGAGTAGTGGTTAATGATTCATACTCTGAATGTTCTGGATTCATCAGTGGTGTACCCCAGGGTTCAGTGTTGTGACCATTACTTTTTAATACATTTATAAACGATATAGGGTCTGAGATTAAAAATATCATTTCAGTCTTTGCAGATGACACCAAGCTGTGCAGTGGAATAACGTCCTTACAGGATGTCACCTTACAAGCCGACCTCAATGCACTGTTTAATTGGACAACTATGTGGCAAATGAGGTTTAATGTTGATAAATGTAAGGTTATGCACTTGGGGGCTAATAATATGCATGCATCATACATACTAGGGGGGTTACAACTGGGGGAATCAATGGTGGAGAAGGATCTGGGGGCACCATTGAAGCCTAATAATGGCATGCAATGCCAAGCAGCAGTTTCTAAAGCAAGAAAAATCCTCTCTTGTATTAAAATAGGTATAGACTCCAGAGCGAGAGATATCATATTACCCCTGTACAAATCACTAGTAAGACCTCATCTTGAATATGC